ATCCATCATTTATTAAATTGCATCTTTCCTAAATGTATGTTTTCATCTGCTTTGTCAAAGATAAGTTTGTGTAAGTATGTGATTTTATTTCTTGGTCTCTTCTATTCACTGATCTACGTGTCTACTTTTTACTAACTATACTACACTGTTTTGGTTTACTATAGCTTGGTAGTATAATTTGAAGTCAGGTAATATTATGTCTTCGTTTATTTCTTTTCCTTAGGATGTGCTTGGTATTTGGCGCTCTTTGGTTGCTTCTATATGGATTTAGAATTGTTTTCTAACTTCTATTGGAAAATGATTGGTAATTTTGATAGGAATTGATGAATTTTCTAGATTAATTTGCGGCGAGTGTGTCATTTAACGAATATTGTCTGTCCAACCCTATTACATGGGATGTTTTCGTTGTTTCGTATTTATGTGATTTCTTTCTTCAGTGTTTTTGTTAGTTCCTTGGTAGGAAATATTTCTCCTCTTGGTTAATATAAGTTTCTATTTTTTTTTTTTTTTTTGATATTTTTTTGCAGCTATTGTAAATGGGTGTAGTTACTTGATTTGGCTTCTCAAGTTGATTGTTGGTGTATAAAGTGCTTATGTATTTTGTACATTGATTTATACATCTGAGACATTGCTGACTATCATTTATCAAATCTAGAGTTTTTGGAGGAGTCTTGTATGTTTCTCGGGTGTAAAATGTCATCAGTAAGCAGATAATTTGACTTTCGTCACTTTCTCAGATTGGATGTCCTTTCTTTCTTTTGCCTGATGCTCTGGTTAGAACTTCCAGTGCTATGTGAATGGATTGGTGACAGTGGGCATCTTGTTTTGTTCCAGTTTTTAGGGGGGTGCTTCAACTTTACCCCATTCAATACATATTTGGTTTAGGTTGTCATATATGGTTTCATTAGTTGAGGATGTTCGCTTCTATGCTGAATGTTTTGGAGGGTTTTTTATCTGAGTGGTGCTGGATTTTGTGATGTCTTTTTCTGGATCTATTGAGGACGATCATGTGTTTTCTGTTTTAAACTTCGTTATTATGTGGTGTCGAGGTCCATTTATTGATTTTCAGTATACTGACCATCTGCTTATTCCTGGATATTTATCCCACTTGATCATGTGGAGTATCCTTTTGATGTACTGTTAGATTTGGTTCTTTAGTAGTTTGGTTGCAGATTTTTGCATCTATGTTCATTAGAGATATGGGTCTGTAGTTTTCTTTTTTGTTGTTGTTGCTTTCTTTCTGCGCTTTGGTATCAGGTATATGTTTTTGTGAATAGTTAGAAGGATTCCTCATTTTGTACTTTTGAACAGAATTCAGTAGGATTTTATCATTCTTCCGTTTACATCGTATATTTCACTTGTGGAATCTATCTGGCCCCTGGAAATTTTTTTTTTGGGAGGGTTTTAATTACTGATTTAATATCATTATTAATTATGGTCTATTTAGGAATCTATTTCTCTGGTGCAATCTTGGGATATGTTAGATTTTAGGGATTCACCATTTCCTCTATTAAGGGTTTTCGGTTTGTGAACTATAGTCGTTCATATAGTCTGTGATGATCTTTGTTTTTTTACATTCGTAATGTCTTGCTTTTCATTTCTGATTATGTGGTATCTTGATCTTCTCCTTCTTCTTGGTAGTCTAGCTTATGTTTTATTAACTTTGTTTATTTATTCAAAGAACAACTTTTCATTCAGTTGATCCTTGATTGTTTTTTGGGGGCCTCTGTGTTCATTTATTCTGGCCTCTGGTCTTGTTATTTCTATCTGCTTCTTGCTGCCTAGTTTTGATCTGTTCTATTTCTAGTTATTAGGGCGATCATATATGTTGTTAAATTTTTATCTTTTACTTTTTTGATATAAACATTTAATGGTGTAAACTTCCTCTTAGTATGCTTTACTGTTATCCACAGGTTTTAGTATGTTGATTTCATCTAATTTCAAAACTTTTTAAATTTCATCTTTAGTTTTCATTGACCTGTCACTCGAGCATTTCGTTTATTTCCATGCATTGTATAGTATCTGATTTCCTCTTGTATTAGATTTACTACTTTATTATGTTGTCTGAGAAAGGTACTTGATATGATTTTAATTTTTAAAATTGTTAAAGCTTATTTTGTGGCCCAAAATGTGGTCTGATCCTGGACAGTTGCTTCATGGTCTGATGTACATGAGTGTTTGTAGTTGTTGTTGAAGTCTATAAAGTCTGTTAACTCCTTTTCTAAACTCATTAATCTTTTGCTTGATTGTTCTGTCTTGATATTTGTCTAGAGCTGTGGGTAGGACCATTGAATCCTCCTATTATTGTGTTGGCTGTCTATCTCTTGTAGGTCTAGTAAAAGTATTTTGTGTAGGAGTAATCTGGTGCTTGGATTTATGGTCATAGTAATATATGATTTTTAATCTCTTTCTGCATTGATCCTTTTTTTTTTTTGTTTACTGTTTGATTAGTCTGTTGTATCAAGTATAGCTATTCCTGCTTGCTTTGGTGTTCTGTTTTGCATTAGATACTTTTCCGCCCCCTTTACTTTATTGGGGTAAGGTTAATGTTTCTGTAAGCAGGATATTAGGTTAGATCATTTTTAAAACTATTCTGCCAATCTATATCTTCATTTGGAGCATTTTATCCATTTAGTGTTAATATTGATACGAATTATCTTATAATTGTTTCTAGTTGTTTTAAATTCTGTGTTTTTTCCTTTTTTCTATCCTTTTGTCTTTGTGGTTTTCGACTTTGTCATCATTATTAATCCTTTCTCCTCGCTCTTATGTGACTGTTTATGAGACCTGTGCCATTTTATTTTATGTATTTTCATGCATGGTGAATATTACCTTTTTGTGTCTCCATGCTCTTTAATACTTTTAGCATTTCCTATAGGAACAGTCTGGTGGTGCAGAATTTCTAGTGTGTTGCTTTTCTGGAGAAAGGCATTTCTCTTTATCTAGATTTATTTGAAGCGTATATATCTTGGCTGGTCATTTTCCTTCTTTCAGCATTTTGCAAATGCCATTCCCCATTCTCTTCTGGCCTGTGTGGTTTCTGCTGAGGAGTCCACTGTTAGTTTGATATGGCTTGCATTTATACGAACTAGAGCTTTTCCTTGCTAATTTCTAAATATCTTTCTTAACTTAAACTTGTCCTTCTGATTATACTATGCCATGGTGAAGTCCTTTCTTACTGTGTTATTGCCTGGGAACAGTTGGGGCTCTTGTATCTGAATGAACTTATTCTTGCTAGTTGCTGGGAATTTCATTGAATATAATATTTCCTTAAATAGGTTTCTAATTTTTTGATCTCTCTCTCTCTTGGAATACTGATATTTCATAAGTTCCATTTGCTTTAGGTAGTTGCCAGATGTCTTGTTGTTTGCTTATTCTTTTTTATCTTTTCTTTTTTTGTCTGACTGGATTATTTCAAAAACCTGTCTTCAGTTCTGAATCTTTCTTCTGCTTGTTCATAGTCATTCTTAAAGCTTTCAAATGTGTTCTGTATCTCCTGTCAACAATATTTTGCCTCAGAATTCTGTTTTGGAGATTTTAGAAAGATGTCTATCTCCGTTGATAAATTCTCAGTTCTATTCTGGAGTTGATTTCTTGTATTGGTTTTCGGTTTCTTTTTGCCTTCATTGACTTCTGTTAGCAATCAATTTTGGATTCTTTTTCTGGCATTACAAGGAATTCTTTTGGATTGGGGTCTGTTGCACTGACAATTATTGTGTCCTTTTTAATGTCTTTTCTTGCTTTTTCATGTTTCCAGTGTTCTTTTGTTGAGTATATATGCATCTGTGGAGCAGTCATTCTGTTTTGATTTTGAATTATTGCTTTCAAGGAGGAGGAATTTTTTCCTGATATAATGTGTTGGTGTGATGAGTGTGGTGGAGTGGTGACATTTGTGTCCACATTAACTCTCAGAATGACACTGGCCTGTATAAGGCTTAGATATCAAAGAGGGCTGGCCTCCTTTGAGGGATCCACTGTCGTCTCAGTGGTGTGGCAGCAGCTGAGTCAGCCCAAATTCAGCCCACGGTGAGTCTGGCCTGATTTAAACTCCAACGATGGGAGGCTTGGGCTTGTGACAGGAGAGGTGGGCCCTCTTCAAGGAGTGCAGTTCATTCAAGGCTTGGTCCTTACGCAGCCATTGCAGGTTGGTGGTATTGTTGTAGATGCTGTGTTAGAAACCTAGTATCCCTACCCTCCCTCACTGGCAAGGACTCAGCTCATCAGCCCACATTCAGGCCCAAGGGCAGGGTACAGCCTAGTTCAAGCTCTCAAATGGTCCTTGGGCCTGTGACTGAAAGGCTGAGGGCCCCCCCAGCAAGTAGTATCGGGCAAGAAACTGTGAACTGTCCACTCACATCTCAGTCATAACAGCAGGGTGGAGAGACTTCTCGCCGCATGTGGAAGTACCTGGGCTCCTCAATACCTCCTTGGAGCCATGCAGTGGCTGCAAGGGTGCCCCATTAGTTTCCATGATATTTAGGCTCCAGAATGGGCACCTGATCAAGCTGCCCTCTAGTTTGTGAGAGCCCCGATGGATTTTGCATGGTCCTTTATGGGCGCAATATTCTCTCTCTATGGCAATTTCCAAAACAGCTTCCTATGTTGGGCCCTTTAGAACTATGTGGGTCAGGGGTTCTCTGTAGCCAAGATTATAAAAGCTTGTCTCAGAGTGTGGAGCCTGGGGGCTTCTCTCTTACATTTCCCCACATCTAGAAGCTTCTCCCATCTCTTAGCCAATCCTCAGCAGGGAAAGCTTCCCATGAGGGTTGGGGAACTTGCACCCTTAGGGCCATATGCAGCTTTCTGGATCCTTGAGTGTGTTCTTTTAACTGAATCCAGATTTTACAAAACAAATCGTTTTACTGAAGGGATTTTTTCTGTTAGCATTTGGTCAAGGGGCTGTACTTGGGGATCTGGAGGGCCATATGTGGTCTTCAGGTCTTCAGGCTACAGGTTTCCCACCCCTACATCCACTCCCTACACACTTTTGGTGCTTCTCATCACTTCCCTGGTGAATCCCAGTGTTCTCTCCTAAATGATCTGTTCAAATTATGAGACTCTGCTTACTAATCTCGTTCCTCTCCAGGGGGAGGCACATACTACCTGTGTCTATTTGGCCATTTTGACCTTATCTCCTGCCCAGGTTTTTCAGTGATTCTATGGTAAGGTTCTAGCTGATATAACAATTGCTGTAAGAGGTATCTTGCCAACACCATTGTGAGCCCACAGACAGAGCCACCAACCTTCCACTATGCCATTTTATATAAAAGACTTAAGCATCCATGGATTTTGGTATGAGAGGAGAGTCCTGGAACCACACCCCATACTGAGGGACAGCAGCATTCAAAGGAAGGCAAGTCAAAGGTTTCGCGTGAGTCAAGGTAAGGTCGGTGATCAAAGAAGGCAAAGGGCGTGGGGGAGGTTTGGCAGCAAGTACCAAGGATACACTTGAAGGGAATTTGGGATAAGGACAAGATGGAAATGCCATTGCTAAGAAGCTAGAATACAAGCTGAGATAGTCACTGGGAACCTAGGGCACCCACCAGGAATTGGACATTTAACTATCATGCTGTCTTCCCTGTTAAGGGTCAAGATTTAAAGTGGAGTTGAATGTACTAAACAGAGGTGCAGTGGATATATGGTAAACTGCACTGGAGGACAATCATCTTACCTGAATTGTGACATATAACAAGCTCTACCCTGCAAGAGGCTGCAGGGTGTCCTGGTTAGCAATGCAGGTTCTGAATGTTGACTGTGCCACTTGCCCACCACATGGCTCAGGGAAATCACTGTATTTCTCTGTGCCTCAGTTCCTTTCCTATAAAACGTAGGCAATAATAGAAACTATCTAAGGGTTGTTGTGAGTCATTACATAAAATAATAGCCATAAGGCACCTTGAACAAAGGTTGGTACATCTTATATGCCCAATAAATGTTAGTTTCTAAACTTTATTTTTCACTTGTGGTAAAATGTGTCTTGGTCTTGGGCACACACTGCAGCCCCACTGTCCACACGTTCAGGCTGCCGTAGGCACACCCCCGCCTTCCACGAGTTGTTTCTTCCCAGTCTTCTCTGTTCGGTCCTCTAAATGGGGATGTCTTTTTCCACATCACACAATAATAAATAATAAACAGTCACAGGAATGATAAGAGATTCACCCTAAACCAATTTCAAGATAAAATATGTAACAGATTCATTTCTGATAGTGTTTTATTGTTTTCTGAGCTATAATGGAGAAAATTGAGCATTATTTGAAACCATTTTATTCTAGGAAGCAAAACTGCTTCAAACTCTGTCTCAAATTTATCCCAAATCCTGTGGTAGTCAGCACAGAATTTCTCTATTGCTTTACATGTAGAATAGCATTAATGATATTTGTCTCTCAAAAAAATAAAAATGTTTGTAAAGTACTTACAAATTCAAAAAAAATCTCATGATCCTCTTATGAGGTTATATTTTGAAGGACTTGTTACAATTATTTGGAGATAAAATTATTCAAAATTAGAATAAACTAATCTGTCTTATTTATAGTATCTTTGCTAAATCTCCTCATTGAAATATATTTACATGACCCTGAAAATGTGGATGATACAAGGTCAAAATCTTTTGTTGATTGTCTATCTTGATGATTTGTCTAGAGCTGTGAGTAGGACATTGAAGTCCTCACTATTATTGTGTTGGCTGTCTTATCTCTGTAGGTCTAGTAAAATTTTGTGTGGGTGAATCTGGGTGCTCTGATATGGTGCATATATATATATGATTTTTAATCCTCTTTCTGCATTGATCCTCTTTTTTTTTTTGTTACTGTTTGATTAATCTGTTTATCTAAGTATAGCTATCCTGCTTGCTTTGGTTTCTGTTTGCATAGAATACCTTTTCCTGCCCCTTTACTTTATTGGGTAAGGTAATTTCTTGTAAGCAGGAATTAGTTAGATCATTTTTAAAAGCTATTCTGCCAATCTATATCTTTAATTTGGAGCATTTTATCCATTTATGTTATATTGATACGTAATTATCATGTATTAATGATTCTAGTTGTTTTTATAATTCTGTGTTTTTTCTTTTTTCTATCTTTTTGTTTTGTGGTTTTCCGAACTTTTGTCATATTAATTTAATTCCTTTCTCCTCCTCCTTTATGTGACTGTTTATGAGACCTGTGCATTTATTATTATTTTCATGATGGTGAATATTGACCTTTTTGTTTCCATTTTTAATACTATTTGAGCATTTCCTATAGGAACAGTCGGTGGTGACAAATTTCTGTGTTTGCTTTTCTGGAGAAAGCATTTTCTTTCATCTATGAAGTTTATTCTGACAAGGTAATCTTGGCTGGCATTTCTTCTTTCAGCATTTTGCAAATGCCATCCCATTCTCTTCTGGCCTGTGTGGTTTCTGCTGAGGAGTCCACTGTTAGTTTGATATGGCTCATTTATAGGTAACTAGATGCTTTCTCTTGCTAATTTTAAATATCTTTCTTAACTTAAACTTTAGCCTTCTGATTATACTATGCCATGGTGAAGTCCTTTTTACTGTGTATTTGCCTGGGAACAGTTGGCCTCTTGTATCTGAATGACTCTACTTCTTGCTAGTTCTGGGAATTTTCATTGATATTAATATTTCCTTAAATAGGTTCTAAGCTTTTTTGATCTCTCCTCTCTTGGAATACTGATATTTCATAAGTTCCATTGCTTTAGGTAGTTCCAGATGTCTTGTTGGCTTTGCTTATTCTTTTTTATCTTTTCTTTTTTTGTCTGACTGGATTATTTCAAAAAACCTGTCTTCAAGTTCTGAATTCTTTCTTCTGCTTGTTCTAGTCTATTCTAAAGCTTTCAAATGTGTTCTGTATCTCCTTTCAACAATATTTTGCTACAGAATTTCTGTTTTTGGAGATTTAGAAAATGTCTATCTCCTTGATAAATTCTCCATTCATATTCTGAGTTGATTTTCTTGTATTGGTTTTCGGATTTCTTTTGCATCTCATTGACTTCTTTAGAATCAATTTTGGATTCTTTTTCTGGCATTACAAGAATTCTTTTGGATTGGGGATCTGTTGCAGACAATTATTGTGTCCTTTGGTAATGTCTATTTCCTTGCTTTTTCATGTTTCCAGTGTTCTTTTGTTGATATATATGCATCTGTGGAGCAGTCATTTGTTTTGATTTTGATTTATTGCTTTCAAGAGGGAGAATTTTCCTGAAGTATGTGTTGGTGTGATGAGTGTGGTGGGAGTGGTGACATTTTGTCCAGCATAAACTCTCAGAATGACAGCTGGCTGTATATAGGCCTTAGATATCAAAGAGGCTGGCCTCCTTTTAGGGATCCACGGTCGTCTCAGCTGGGTGTGGCAGCAGGCTGAGGTCAGCCCAAATTCAGCCCACTGGGTGAGTCATGCCTGATTTAAACTCCAACGAGGGAGGCTTGGGCTTGTGACTAGAGAGGGTGGGCCCTCTTCAAGGAGTTGCAGTTCATTCAAGGCTTGGTCCTTACTGCAGCCATTGCAGGTTGGTGGTATTGTTGTAGATGCTGGTTAGAAACCTAGTATCCCTACCCTCCCTCACTGGCAAGGGACTTACAGCTCATCAGCCCACATTCAGCCCTAAGGGCAGGGTTACCAGCCTAGGTTCAGACTCTCAAAATGGTCCGTTGGGCCTGGTGACTGAAATGGGCCCTGAGGGGCCCCACCCAGGGAGTAGTATGGGCAAGAAACTGTGAAACTGTCCCTCACATCTCAGTCATAAACAGCAGGGTGGTGAGACTTCTCGCCTGCATTGTGGAAGTACCTGGGTCCTCAATACCTCCTTGGAGCCATGCAGTGGCTGCAAGGGGTGCCCCCATAGTTTCCAGATATTTAGGCTCAGAATGGGGCACCTGACTCAAGCTGCCCCTTAGTTTTGTAGAGCCGATGGATTTTTTGCATGGTCCTTTATTGGGCCAAGTAATCTCTCTCTCTATGGCAATTTCCAAACAGCGTTCCTATGTTGGTGCCCTTTAGAACTATGTGGGTCAGGGGTTCTCTGTTATTTTGCTGTGCAGAAGCTTCTTTGTTTAATTAAGTCCCACTTGTCTATTTTTGTTTTTCTTGCATTTGGTTTGGGGGCTTAGTCAGAAATTCTTTGTCTATGCCAATATCCAGAAGAGTTTTTCTTAGGATGTTTATTGTTTCAGGTCTTACATTTAAGTCTTTAATTATTGTATATGGTGAAGGATAGAGATTCAGTGTCATTCTTCTATATATGGCTATCCTTTTATCCATCATTTATTAAATATGGCATCCTTTCCTAAATGTATGTTTTCATCTGCTTTGTCAAAGATAAGTTGGTTGTAAGTATGTGATTTTATTTCTTGGTTCTCTATTTTGTTTCACTGATCTACGTGTCTACTTTTATACTAACTAATACTACACTGTTTTGGTTACTATAGCCTTGTAGTATAATTTGAAGTCAGGTAATATTATGTCTTCAGTTTTATTCTTTTTCCTTAGGATTGCTTTGGTTATTTGGCCTCTTTGTTGCTTCTATATGGATTTTAGAATTGTTTTTTCTAATTCTATGAAAAATGATTTGGTATTTTGATAGGAATTGCATTGAATTTCTAGATTACTTTGGGCAGTGTGGTCATTTTAACAATATTGATTCTTCCAACCCATTAGCATGGGATGTTTATCCGTTTGTTTGTATTATATGTGATTTCTTTCATCAGTGTTTTGTAGTTCTCCTTGTAGGAATATTTCTCCTCCTTGGTTAAATATATTACTAGATATTTTTTATTTTGCAGCTATTGTAAATGGGATTGAGTTCTTGATTTGCTTCTCAGCTTGATTGTTGGTGTATAAAAGTGCTATTGATTTTTGTACATTGATTTTATAATCTGAGACATTGCTGAATTCATTTATCAAATCTAGGAGTTTTTTGGAGGAGTCTTTACGTTTTTCTGGGTATAAGATAATGTCATCAGTAAGCAGATAATTTGACTTTCTCTTTCTCAATTTGGATGTCCTTTCTTTCTTTTGCCTGATTGCTCTGGTTAGAACTTCCAGTGCTATGTTGAATGGAATTGGTGACAGTGGGCATCCTTGTTTTGTTCCAGTTTTTAGGGGGTGCTTTCAACTTTACTCCATTCAGTACAATATTGGGTTTGGGTTTGTCATATATGGCTTTCATTAGTTTGAGGTATGTTCCTTCTATGCTGAATGTTTTGAGGGTTTTTATCTGAAGTGGTGCTGGATTTTGTGAATGCTTTTTCTGGATCTATTGAGACGATCATGTGTTTTCTGTTTTTACTTCTGTTTATGTGGTGAGTCACATTTATTGATTTTCATATACTGAACCATCCTTGCATTCCTGGGATGATTTCATCCCACTTGATCATGTGAGTTATCCT